ACTCGTTAAGTAGAACATTTTAAATGATTTATTTTATTTCAATGAAAATCTTTGCTTCACACAAAATAATCGACTCCTCATTTGTAACAAGATGATGGTTAATGTAATACGTAGTTGAATAATTTCATTATGAGCGTATTTGTGTTATTTTATATTTTGATAAACGTCCTAATTTTCTTCGTAATGATGAACTTCATATACGTAACACGACCTCAACGCCATCTGTTTGCAGAAAACTGGCTTAGATTTATCGTCTAGCAACGTATTTAAATAAACACCAAACAAATATACTGTGAGTCTATTAAATGTGCTTTCGGTCATTTATATTTGAACTCCTATATCGAAAGATGGGGAGGATCCCTTTACAACTTGTTGAAATACCCTCTTTGGACATTTTTGCTTTTGATAACCGATAAATTTATTATTTAGTTGTACTGTGTACTTACGATAACCAGGCTTACGTACGTTAAGGTACGATATGAACACTTTATGGAATATATAGGTTACTGAAATATGTATATAGTTATTTGTGAAATAGTGTATACTTAGAATGAACAAAAATTTAAGTTGTATATGCTTATCATATATATTTTGTTAAAAAAAAACATCACTAAAGCTTTCATCAGTATCCCCCTGAAAAGGCAGTTTGTGCGAATCAGCAACGTAGTTGTAACAAAGACGAAACAGTGAAAAACAAAAACTAGTGACAACATCTAAAAGGTAATATCTCGTTAATAAGTAGAACACTACATACACATCTATTGTTGAATTAGCATGTCTCGCCAATGATCATATTTTATTATCGTATTCCCTCATCCCGTAGCATTAAGCAATCCATAGAATTGCCAAAAAATCAAAAACCTCAGTAACCATTTAGCTTAATGTGCGCACAAAATCATAGTTATATCTTCATAGTAGCTCACTCTCAGGAAAACTGACAAGAGAGGGTGGGATGGGTGGGTGGGTTCGTTATCAGCAAAAACACATCAATTATGTATTTTCATATCACTGTCGAAAGAGTTTGTTAATAAATTCATGAATATTAAGGTGGATATACCATCATTAATTACTTGGTGTTTTTTTATGGGTATTTGGAGTTATGGTTTCTTGACTATTTAAATGTTTCAGCGATTTATGTGTTCTTGATGTCAATTCTTATCGACTTATTGAAGTATTGAGGTTAAGTAGGTATTGTTGTTTGATTGGAAATTGAGAATATAGTGTAAATATTATGATCCAATAATTTATTAAATTACTACTGCGCATGTACTGCATCTAGTAACATTTACTAAAAACGTTATGCTTGGTTTGAAAATAATTTGAGATTAATTTACTTCAAAGAAGGTCTAGTTAATTTATATTCATGTTGAATATATACGTTTGTAATAGGTATACAGGTATCTTTGGATGTTTCAGTGTAACATTGTCTCCAACGAATGTTCGTTTTTGTAGTATAATTATGTTATAGATTTAAATCGATTTTACTAAGTCCTATTGATATAATTTCTGTGAATGTGCTTTAACAACCAATATATTAGAGTTTGTTCAAGCAACTTTAAAACGGTTAAAATTATGTTGCAAGTGCTCTTGCCAAATAAAGATTAAGATGGCGTTAAAACTCTAGAGATATAGCTACTCTAGAGAAATAAAGATTCAAAGGATGTTAACACAAAATTGTGTTGCAAGAGATTATTTCGCGAAATAAAGATTAAAATGTTAGTTTTATACAACTGGAGCCTAGATGAATAATTCGTTTGTTGAATTTCCAGCAAAGCTACATGAGAGCTATCTACGCTAGCCGTCTCTAATTTAGATTATAGACTGCTAGAATAGATAGATTATAGATTGCTAGACTAGAGGAAAGGCAGCTAGTCAACGCCACCCGCCGTCAATTCTTGGGCAATTCTTTATCATCAAATTATAACGCTCACACGCCTGAAAGAGCGAGAATTTTCGGTGACGGGATTCGAACTCCCGACCCGCAAATTGCGAGTTGAGCGCCCTAAACACCAAGCCAAGCGAGGCTCAAATAATTTTATTATCAAAATAATACACTAAGAAATAGGTATATTTAGGGTTGGACTACTGTAAAGGATTTAATGTTTTGCTTTTAAACAGATGTCTTTTCGGTTTTGAAAAATATGAAATATTATTCTGCAATAATGGATATTTTTCTAAGATTTAGAACTTTAGTCCATTAAATTTTAGGACATTATGGGTTGTAAAAATGTTAGTCTCCTTAGATATTTTGCACTTAAAACGGGCAATATAGTGTTTTACAACTTCATTGTTACATAAAAGGTCAATATTTTGCCTTAAAAAGTGATATTTGTTACACAGTCCAAATTATACATTTTGGCATGAAAAAAACCTGTTATTTTATCTTATGACTGACAGGTTGTGGAAAAAATGTTAAGAAAATTAATATAATTTTAATATATAGATGGTCATGAATAGACTTTATAGGATACTTTTAACTATAGAAAGGAAACAGAAAGAAACTTAAAAGGTACCTCTCTTTCCACACAAAGTGCAATGTTTTTAAAATAGCTCGGTGCTTACATTTGACTAAAGAATATTAATGTCATCTCATACAGAAAAAATAAATAAACAGAGTTCCTGGCGATGTTTACTGATGTATTTCTTTATAAAATTATTCATGAAATATACTGATTTAAATGGCTCAAAAGCAGAAGATTTTGGAAATGTTTATCATCAGTGAAAATGAAGTTAAGTAGCTTAACTTTTTACGTTTTTTTTATATCCTGTATAATACCAAAAGTAAGGTGGTATCGTACTTTTAAAAGCTATAAGAAAATGTGCTTCCAAAATATTTCATAGACATCATAAAACAGTGTGTTAAGTATACTGTATAAAGGTCATAAGATTATATGCTAAAACTACTTTACATCATGGTAATATAAATAGTGCTGACATTACATTACCTGAAGATCAAAGATCTAATACTACCCTACAATAAAGTTCATAGAACTACATTAAATAACGGTCAAAGGAAAGTTTCTACCACTGCCCTATATAAGCTCATAAAACATTGCTTTAACACTGCATTATATAGGTGTAACACAGCAACGTCCTGATACTACATTACAAAAAGTTCATTAAACGGTATAACAGCAGGCTAACACTATATTATATAAGGTTTATTAAACATTATAACAATATACTAACACTACATTACATAAAGCTCGTTAAACCGCATAAATGCAGGTTAAAACTACATTACATGAAGTTAATTAAACGGCACAACAGTATGTTAACACTAGTTATACCGTTTATGAAACTTTATGTAATGGTTAGCATACTGTTTTAGTAGTTAATAAACTTTATGCGATGTAATGATAGCAAAATGTATAAAGAATTATATATAATGTAGTGTTAGTACAATGTTATAATGTTTTGTTTATGTAATGTAGTATTAGCATATTGTTACGATGTTTAATGAGCTTTATGTAGTGTCATGCAAGTATACTATGATACCATTTAACGAGCTTTATGTAACGTAGTGTTATCTTACTGTTATACTGTTTTATATACTTTATGTAATGTATTGTTAACATACTGTTGTGCCGTTTAATGAACTTCGTGTAATGTAATGTCAGCAAACTGTTATAACGTTTAACGAGCTTATTGGAATACAGTGTTAACATACTGTTGTGCTGTTTAATGAACTTCATGTAAGGTAGTGTCAGCATACTCTGTTTAATAGACTGCATGTAATTTAAGTTTGCATACTGTTCAATGAATTATATATAATGTAGGGTTAGCATACTGTATAGTGAATTCTGTATAATGTTGAGTTAGCATACTGTATAGTGAATTCTATATAATGTTGATATACAGTATGCTAACTCAACATTATATAGAATTCACTATACAGTATGCTAACTCAACATTATACAGAATTCACTATACAGTATGCTAACCCTACATTATATATAATTCATTGAACAGTATGCAAACATACATTACATGCAGTCCATTAAACAGTATAACAGTATGCTAACACTATATTACATAAAGTTCATTAAACGGTAATAACAGTATGTTAAGACCACGTTGCACAAAATTCTAGCACTACCTTAGATTAACTCATAAAAAATCGTCTAACACATCTTTATATATAAAACAGTGTGCTAAAGCTAAGTCAACAGACGGTGTTATATGACAACTTTGTATACAAGTCATAAAACGGTATGTTAACACTACATAGGTTATAGATCATGAAACAGTGTGCTAAGTAACAGAAATGTATTGATTATCCGAATTTAGGTGACTTTATGAGAAAACAGTGTGATAACACTGCATTTCATATAGGTCACTGAATTCAGGTCATGAAACAGTGTGCTAATTCTATATTGTACAGAACAGTGCGACTACTCATGAGTTCATAATGTACCCCTGTAAATGTACTTTTGCATTAGTGTTGCGGTTATATGCTACAAAAACAGCTAGTCAATTTTGGGTTTCCCGTCTCGGCATAATTTTTCCCTTATTCTTTTTCTCACTCTGATACTTGAAATGTCTTATATTTATTGCTTTGAACCAATAGATTCTTCAATAACTACTATTCACGTCATACTTTTACACGACAAAATCTTACGTTGCACTACGATTGTATGTATGAAAAGGACGTCGATAATGCATATTTTGCTGCTAGTATAGAGAAAACATTACCACACGCCTTCCCCCTACTGCTTGCAAACATTCAATATTCTGGAAAAGATTAGTGTTTCCATCCTGAATATAAAACTGTTTGGGAAAATTCATGTAGAGTGCTTCTTTAAAAAAAAAAACACGCAAAGCTACAATAGACCAGATTTTCGTTAACTTATGGAATATTTGAACAGAAAACTTATTTAAAAACATCACATTACCCTTCTCCTGTCTATAACTAAATATGTAATGCTGAAAAAAATCATAAGAAATGTAAAAAAATCCAAGTGGCTATGAAGCTTAAATTCGAATGATAAATAACTCACCCTCAAAAAACAAAAGCCACAACAGTATAGACAACATCGTTTTCTTGGGGAAAGTTTCACGCTTCTCTGTTCGCGCGCACCATACAACCCACAGCGCGTGACTACAACCGTTGCAATAAACGCTACGCTCTTTACCCGCACTTGTCACCTGTTTACATGTAGCACCACCTGGTGATGATCGGTTGTAAACTCAGATTTTGCAATGAAAGCTTGATATGTTAAGTTGATTATGTTGTAAACGTTGTAAAACATAGTGCAGATAATTTCGAACTATATATAGTTGTGTATCTTGTCTACATTGTGCATGTTTTGTTTTAATATTTTCGACTTTGATTATTGCTATCTTAGTTTGTTTATGTGTTTGCTGATGTGTCTCCTTACATAACAGTCTTGTATTACCAACCGAGTAGCTTAGAGAATAGTTTATAATAGCTAACAGCTTTTGTGTATAAACGTCTCTTTGATCTATCTTAGTTATGATGTTATTAAATACAATACTGTGGTAAAATTCATAAAAATACAGCAGTAACTGTAGGTTTGAGAACTTTAATTGACTGAGACTGCCTATTGAAGGAAAATGGCACGACGTTTCGGCTTCTATACTGAGACCAAGAAGTAACTGATTAACAGAATATAGACGCAACATAAGATGGAGAAATTATTAACATTATATAACTTTTAGAAGCTGAAAAAAGTTTAATGTAGTCATGTACATATGGTTCATATTTCTAACACTAGGCTTGTTGCACTTTCTTTCAGTGTCGGTGTAACTATATTGATGAGTAACTGTCTCTGTGATGCAGAGTTGTTGTCCGTTGTTCTTATACTTCTGGCATTTTTTCCACATACTGTCAAGATGTGATACATGATCGAACTATAAAGTTTTTTGGCGTCAGTGTGTTTTTGTTTTGTACGGGTTGTTAACCCAATGTAGATGTCCTTGCACTCGTGACACTGATGTTTATAAATGACCTTTAACCTGTTCGTCATATCATTCTTGTCCTTGAAAGTGAAAGAGTTTGTTATTCTCGCACTTGGTTTGATGTACGGGAAGGCTCTTTAAATAAGTTTGATGTACGGGAAGACTCTTTAAACAAGTTTGATGTACGTGAAGACTCATTAAATAAGTTTGATGCACGGGAAGGCTATTTAAATAAGTTTGATTAGTGTGATGTACGTGAAGACTTTAAATAAGTTTGATGTACGGAAAGGCTCTTTAAATAAGTTTGATGTACGGAAGGTTCCTTTAAATAAGTTTGATTAGTTTCATGTACGGAAGGTTCTTTAAATAAGTTTGATGTACGGAAGGCTCTTTAAATAAGTTTGATTAGTTTCATGTACGGAAGGTTCTTTAAATAAGTTTGATGTACGGAAGGCTCTTTAAATAAGTTTGATTAGTTTCATGTACGGAAGGTTCTTTAAATAAATTTGATTAATCTGATGAACGGAAAGGCTCTTTAAATAAGTTTGATGTACGGAAGGCTCTTTAAATAAGTTTGATTAGTTTCATGTACGGAAGGTTCTTTA